ACGCCAACCTCAACCCGTACACGGCCGACGTCGCGTCCTTCTCGCCGGGCGGTGTCTTCTGGCTCGTGCTCACGACCAAGGCGACGCCGGTCGCCGAGATGAACGACGACGTGGCATACGTGACGGGTCAAGTCATCATGCACGACAAGCAGTCGACGCTGGCCATGACCATGTTCAACGTGCAAGGCGTCTTCCTCCGGCGCATCGGCCGCCTCACGCTCTACGGCAACCTTCCGGACGCGCGCGTCGAGCTCGTGTACCCGTCCATGACGGCGTCGACGTCATCGCCCGCGACGATCGCTGCCGCAAACAATGCGTCGTCGTCTCTGTCGACCAACAAGTCGGCGCCGCTGGACGACGAGCAAATGCACTTTGAAGTCTCGCCGCCCCGCTTTTCCAAATCCCTTCTTCCTCTCGTCTCGTACATGCTCATCACCGCATGTCTGCGTAGCTACAATGGCCAGCAGCAACAGCGCCTTCGCACGGGCCAGTCGCTCGTCGATCAGTGCAGCTACACGCTCGACATGAACATTGGGTCGCCCGAGACCAACCGAGACGCGTCGGTCGCCCCGGCCTCCATGCTCCACCAGCACTCGGTCGCGGGCCTCAATGGTATTGTGGGCAGCGACGGCTGCCAGCTGTACTGGAGTGCCAACGTGACGTACGTCGGCGAGAACTTTGACGTCTTCTTCTCGAAAGCGTCGCACTATGCGATCTTGATGGCGCTGCTGGCCATGTTCCAGATCTACCTCCTGCTTCGGCAGCTGCAGCTCTCGTCGACGCAGGCCATGGCGGCCAAAGTGAGTCTCCTCACGGTCGGCGCCCAGGCCATCGTCGACTCGTACTTGTGCCTCGCGCACTTGACGGTCGGCATTGTCGCGCAGCAGATCTTTACGCTCTTTGCGACCGTCTCGTTCTTCGAGCTCATCATTTTCTCGATTTTCGAGATGCGGTATCTCTTGGTCATCTGGAAGGCGCGCCGGCCGCAGAATTTCACCCAAGGCTGGCTGCTCATGCGGCGCGAGCTCACGACCTTGTACTCGCGCTTTTACATTTCGCTGCTCACGGGTCTCTGCCTCATCTACTATGCCTGGGTACGCGCTCCTTGTATGGAAAGTGATGCTACTCCGTCGTCGTCTGTATTAGCACTATCTCAACGTGCTGGTGGTGCTCGCCTTTTCGTTCTGGGTGCCGCAGATCGTCCACAACGCGCACCGAGAAGTGCGCAACCCGTTCGATTGGGTGTACATGCTCGGCATGTCGGTCTCGCGCCTCTTTTTGCCGCTCTACTTTTACGGCTGCCCAAGCAACTTCTTATCCGCATTGCCCGTGGTACGTGCTTCGATCCCCTCGTGTGATGTTGTTTTGATGGCATGCTGCGTAGTATCAAATGCAAGCGCAGCCAGGAATGTGCTATCTCCTCGTCGGCTGGGTCGCCTTGCAAGTACGTGCAATTGCCTCTGCAATCGTGTCGAAGCGTCGTTTATCGCATGACTAGATTGCGGTGCTGCAATTGCAGCAACGCTGCGGCCCGCGCTTCTTTGTGCCCGCGCGGTTCCTCCCCGTCAAGTACAACTACGAGCGCCGCATCAACGCCGACCAAATGTCACTCTTGCGGGCCAACCACGGCGACGAGATTGATTGCGTCATCTGCATGGTCGGTTCTTGTCGCGTGTCAATCAATATGGATCGTTGACGTAAATTGTATAGGTCGAGCTCGACATGGACGCCCGGGACTACATGATCGCTCCGTGCGACCACATCTTCCACCGTCCGTGCTTGCAAGAGTGGATGCAAGTCAAGATGGAGTGCCCCACGTGTCGCTGCGCGCTCCCCGAGCCCTAAGTGGCCGCGTCTAAACGTTGTATATTTATACAAGACGACCCGTGTGCCCTTGTGTAACCCAATGCGACTCGATTCTCTCGTTGGAGGTCGGAGAAGAAATTGAAACATTGAACAAATAGATGAAGATATTAGAGTAGACCATGCGGCGCAACATGATCCGGTACGATTGTGGGTCGCATCGCCGGCGTCAACGCCACACAACGACGTGCAAGGTCCTATTTTCCACGCCTCGCAGCCCGCGCAAAGGGTCGGGACATGCTGTTGGCGGCTTGGAGCATCGAGATACGCTCTTCTGGATCCATCCATGGATTGTCTGGTACCAGCCGAGCTCGAATAGAATCGCACCAGACGCATAAATAAATGCATGTGGCGGTGCTGGTGTCAAATGCTTCGGGGGTGCAGGACGGTTGCAATGGCCGGTTCAAGTCCCGCTTTCTCTTGGAGGTGTCATGTCGCGTACTCTTTGGCAAAGCCAACGGCGGCGAGCGTGATGCGCCCGTATGATGACACCAAAAGAGCGTTCCGGCACGCAGATCGTAGTGCGCGGGACGACGGGCATGCAAGGTCTCGAGACCCTTGGCGGCCGCACGAGCGACGGAACTGGGCGGGAGGAGGCGAGCTCTTGACGGCCGCACCAGGCTCTCCTTGAGATAGCCATCGACTCAAAAATCAACTGCGGCCGAGACGTACAGTATGAAGAGAGAGACAACGAAAGGTATCCCTCCTCTGGCCCGTGCTCCGCGCCTGTGTCAACGTCTGGCGCGTCCGGAACGATCGCGTCTTTCGCGCCGACCTCCCGCTGCCAAGTCCATGGACGATTGCCGTCAAGGCGGCGTGGGTCGCCCACCTGCACTTGCACCACAGCCTCGTACAAGAGCCCGAGCAGCCTGCTCTTCCTCGGCTTCTCCAGCCCTTCGCCCAACACGAGTGGCCGCGACGTCACCTCGTCCCGCAGATCGCGCTCCTGCCACCGCCTGCCGAAGTCAAGTTCCTTAACAGAGTGCCCACAAGGAAGAAAGTCCGACAATTCACTTTAGCATAGTTTGATCTCTTGTAATAGACGACCCACTTCAACAACAATGAAAGGTGTCCCTACCCAAGGAAACGGCCCTAGCACATTATTTTTCTGCCAGGAGAGAGACGTGCGTCGCACGCTTCAGGACTGGCAAGATGACGCACTCGAAAGGACGTTTGTGTTGGACAATAGGTTCGTCGTATTTCTTGTGCTATTGGAGGAGCTGTACTATCTCCGCGGCAGTTGGTCGCGTCGAGGGGTCGTGTGCAACGCACCGAAGGGCGAGGGCATGGTACCCGTCGTCGGGTACCTCGAGGAGGTCGGTTGTCGCCGTGCCAGCGTGGACATGCAGCATGGCTTTGCCAAAGAAGTCCATGTTGCCATGGGTTGCAAACCACATTAGCTCGATCATCATGACGCCAAACGAAAAGATGTCGGCGGCGGCGGTGGCTGCAGCCTTGGAATGGCGAGCCTTGGGGGCCATCCAGTAGTTGCGGGGCGGCCGTGGGGGATCGTGTATCGTCAGTTTTAGTATTCTTGCTACCCGCGGTAAGCTCTCGCGAAGTGCTGCCTCATAGGACAAGCCAACTTCGGCGAGCTTGATGCGGCCGTCGGTCGCGATGAGGATGTTGTGCAAATGCAAGCGACCATGTGCGACGCGGTGGCGGTGCAGATGCTCGAGGCCCTTGGCGACGGCGAGTGCGATCGTCACGGGGGGCATCGTGTTCTTGCGTGACGAGACGTAGTCACGGAGACTGCCACCGTCCATGTACTCGAAAATGAGCTTGGGGCGGGCCGATGCGACGTCTGCCACCGCGAGCAGCGAGACAAGGTACGGCGATCGCAGCCTAGTACGTGGTGTGCAATGAGTCACGACTGCATACATCTGATTCACGCACTGGTAATAGGTCTGCACGTGACGGCCAAAGTCGTCGATGTGGCCAAAGAAGCGAAACGTCTTGACGAGTACGTCGCGGCTGCGATAGACGCCTTTGGCGGTGACGCAGCTCAAACTGGCCCCGAGCGACTCGAGCTCGTCGAGCTCGTTGGACGAGACCATGGGCACTAGTCATAGACACGTATCAGGCCCTTGCTGTGGGTATTTGCACACGTACCTTGTGTCGACTGCTTTGGCGAAGACATGGGCGTGTACGATGCTGTCGCGATGGCGTCATTCACACCAGCGAGGAATTGCCGGGTGCGACAGCCCGCTTGGTCGGCAGCGGGACACTTGCACTTGCAGAAGAAGCACATGAGCAGCAGCGTCAAGATAGCTGCGACTGCTAAAAGCACCGATGCGTACGCGGCAAGGGCCATGGCGGCATGCGAGCAATCGTTGAAATGTGAACACGTCCATCACAGGAACTCATGAACAATTTGTATCAGGATGAGAGTGCTGGTCTTTGTCGGGTTGTAAAAGGCGGCATGTGCCACATCGAAATTTCGACAAACTGCAAGCAGCTGTGTCGTCCCATCCAGTATCCGGAAGAGAGTGATGGGCTTTGTTGGGTTGTAAAAATTGAGCTCGAAGGTCACAATTGAATTTGACCCATGGCCCTTGCCCCGTACGTGTGGGTGCTTTTAGCGGTCGCAGCTATCTTGACGCTGCTGCTCATGTGCTTCTTCTGCCGCAAGTGTCCCGCCGCAGTTCAAACAAGCTGCCGCAGTCGGCGGTTCCGCGCTGGGGTGCATGATGCCATCGCGACAGCACCATACTACGCACCCATGGCTTCGCCAAAGCAGTCGACGCAAGGTGTACTGAACGCTATGCAGATAACCAACAAGGGACTTATATATATTCATTGGATAGTACCAATGATCTCGTCCAACGAGCTCGACGTGCGCGAAGCGCTTTGGCATGGCACGACCTGCGCCGCCGCCAAGGGCGTCTACCGCGGCCGCGACGTACTCGTCAAGACGTTTAGCTTCTTTGGCCACATCGACGACTTTGGCCGTCGCGTGCAGACCTATTACCAGTGCGTGAATCAGATGTATGCAGTCGTGACTCATTGCACACCACGTACTAGGCTGCGATCGCCGTACCTTGTCTCGCTGCTCGCGGTGGCAGACGTCGCATCGGCCCGCCCCAAGCTCATTTTCGAGTACATGGACGGTGGCAGTCTCCGTGACTACGTCTCGTCACGCAAGAACACGATGCCACCCGTGCCGATCACACTCGCCGTCGCCAAGGGCCTCGAGCATCTGCACCGCCACCGCCTCGCACACGGTTGCTTGACCCTGAGCAGCGTCCGCATCGCGACCGACGGGCGGATCAAGCTCCCCGATTGCGGCTTTTCTTATGATGACGCATACCTCGCGACCTTACCGCCGGTAGCAGGAATGCCGGAAATGATGTGGGATCCCCCACGGACCCCGGGCAATTACTGGAAGGCCCCCGAGGCTCTTCATTCCAAGGGTGCAGCCACCGCCGCCGCTGACATTTTCTCGTTTGGCGTCATGATGATCGAGCTAATGTGGCTGAGAACGCATGACAACAGGGACCACTTTGGCAAAGCCATGCGCTACATCCGTGCTGGTACGGCGACAACCGACCTCCTCAAGGTACCCGACGACTGGTACCATGCCCTCGCGCTTCGCTGTGTCGCACGCGACCCCTCGACGCGACCAACTGCCGCGGAGATTGTACAACATCTCAAACAGCATACTACGACAGAAGACGACGATACTATCGTCTAACACAACTGTCATTTCGAGGGTGTCATCTTGTCAGTCGATTGAACACGCGTCATTCCCTTCCCTTTCGCAACCCGACTTGCTACTCTCTTGACGTTGTATCAGCAACGCTTGGACACGCCATGGACCCCGGCCTGTGACACCTGTTTGCTAAGCGTCAATCAAATTGAGATCATATGGCACCAGAAGCATGGCAGTATATGATCCACTTGGGCAATGTCATGGAGCGTGTCCAAGCCGGCACGTTTTCGGCGAGGCGGACAAGGATGCACGCCGCACGGCTTGCGAGGAATCGGTCTTGGCATGAAACTCGCTAACGTTAGAGTGAACCGGCCAGCTTTCTGCAGTAGTTTTCTTGGTCACACCCAAGGGAATATAAAGTGTCTCTTCAAAATTGTGACATCGAGCCGATGGTCTATCAAACCCGGCTTGGCCTAAATGCACACAGAACAGATGGTCCGGACTCGGAGGCGTTTGCATGCTACATGCCTCCCTCACCTCCCCTTACCCCAGGGACTGGTAGAGCACATCTCTTTACCCTCAAAACCCCCCGAACCCGGCGCTTTGATGAGCATAAGTACCTCCTAACTCTCCAAACCCCGTTGAGGCTGATGTTAGCGCATTACACACACCTCCTTTCTGGCCAATGAAAACCCGCCAAACCCCTGTGGACCATCTGCTCTGTGTGCAGTAAGGCTATTTGATCAAACCCTTGGTCACGTCCATCGACATTCAGAGGTCCAATTTTCATTCGACAATACGTACATCAACAGTGTGCTGTTCAAAGATGCGTACGATCTCGGCGGCGGTTGGTCGCATCGACGGCGTGTGGGCCACGCAGCGAAGCGCGAGGTCTTGGTACCAATCCGATTCGCCGAGGAGGCCGTTCGTCGCCGTGCCTGCTTGAACGTCCATAATGGAAGCGGCAAACTGGTCCATGCAGCCATGTTGTTTGCGCCACATGAGCTCGATCAGGACGACGCCCAGTTGGTAAATGTCGGTGGCCGTGCCTGCATCGTTGGCCTTGAGCGCCTCGGGGGCGACCCAGTAGTTGCGTGGCAATCTCGCAGACGCGCTGGGTACGTAGCTGGACGCCGATGACATCGACGACATCCTTTTCTTGCGCTTTGGTAACTCTTTGAGCGTCGCGTTCTCGCGGGCAAAGCCAAAGTCGGCGAGCTTGATGCGGCCGTCGGATGCGACGAGAATGTTACGCAGTCGCACGTCGCGGTGCACAACCTCGTACTGATGCAATCCCTGCAGACCCCGGGCCACCGCAAGCGCAATGGTCTCGGGGGAGTATGCCTGATGCTCCCGGTAGCTGTAGTCGTCAAGGTTGCCGCCGTCCATAAACTCAAACACGAGCTGCGGGTTATTTGACTCGACGTCGGCGACGGCGAGCAACGATACGAGGTACGGGGACCGCAATCTAGAAAGGCGGGCGTGCGCCTGTTTATCGAACACAGAGATAGCGGCTGGACGTACTGGTACAAGGTCTGCGCTTGGCGGCCAAAGTCGTTAAAGTGGCCAATGTAGTTGAACGTCTTGAGCGCCACGTCGCGGCCTTGGTAGATGCCCTTGGCGACAACGCTGTACATGCCACCGCCGAGCGTCCCAACGATCTCGAGCTCATTGGACGAGATCAATGGCACTAACAGACGGTTGTCAATTCATCACCGCCGCAGTGGAGTACCTTGTGCTGGCTGGCGCGGCGACGCAGCCCTCGTGTACGGCGTCTTCTTGAGGGCACCTTTAACGCCAGAACGAACCCACGAGGCGCGAGAGGCCGCTTGGAGCTGGCGGCGATAGATGCACCCGAGCACGAGCAGCGCAGCGACGGCGATGAGGGCCCATGCATAGGCAGGCAGCGCCATGGGTACGATGGCTCTTTCCCAGTCGCTGGATTGGAGTGATGTCGTCTGTAAAATGCGGCAGATGCCGAATCCAATGGCCTTTATGCATTGGCTTAAAAAGACAGCAATGCGCCAATGGGCGCGTTCGATTTGGAAGGAAATGGTCCAATCCGACGTCGGCGACAGGTTGGAACCATGGCAGCACAAACAGCGAGCCCGGGGCTGGCGCTGGCGCGGAAGCTCGGCGCGCTTGGCTGCCCCGTTGACGTGCGCAGCGATGCGCTCGAGGCGCTCTATGGCAATCCCTCCATGCGGCTCCAAGGCTTCTTGCACTGGTTCGTGCATGCGCTGGACGACGAGAGCTCGCTGGCAGCGCAATTCGATGCGAACGACCGGGCGCTCTTGGCCTCGATGGACCTTTTAGACGGCGCCGCCTTGGCCGCCAAAGAGCGCGAGATATTTGGCTCTCTGGGCGATGCCATGGCCGATGACGACGAGGACGACGACGACGCCGAGGATGAAGGTGCGTTGCAGGAAGAGATTGC